ATAAATTCAAAGAAAAAATTCGCCTTACCAAGTAATCTCCACTTTGAGCTGGAGGATTTAGAAAGAAAACAAGACAAAATCAAAACAAAACAAAAAAAGATGGACGTTGGTGTGGAATTCCCGATTTAATGATGGCTTTTTTATAAGGAGCTTCATTTCATGTCAGAAATACACTCGAAGGGGTTGACATATCCTGTCGAGAGGCGACCACAATTGGAAAATTTAACTTAATTTTTTATTTAAATTAATTTTCTATAACTTTTGGATGTTGGTGTATTAGGTATACGTATTAGGTGAAGAAAATTTTAATAAATTTCGTATTTTTTTTATGGTGTGTTTTTGAAGAGAAGCAAAATTACAAAAGTCAATGTCTATTATAAATACATATATTTGTAAACTTTCTTGGCAATAATTAAATAATGGGCTCATTTTAAAAAAAATATATTAATAATAGTTGTTCTAACGTATTTTCAAAATTGTGTATGTATAAGAATAAATAAATTAAAAATAAATTAAAAAAATAAGAATGAGACAAACACAAATGAATAAAAAAGAAAATAAAAGACACAAAATATAAATAAATAAAAATAAAAATTAAGGAAACAAAGTAAAAATAAAAGAAACAAAATAAAAATAAAAATAAAAATATAAATATAAATAAAAGAAATAAAATTAAAGTAAAAAAAGCAAAAATAACCAAAGCTTTATGTTACGAAATTATCATATAAAAATGTATTTTATCAATATGTAATAGTCAATAAATTATACATATATTCACGTGCTTTGATTTTGATATGATAACTCATTTTTTTTTTTATTTAAAATTTTTTTTTTTTAAACCCAATTAAAGTATATATTACTAAGCATATTTGCAAATATCTGTAAAACACGCTTTAAAACATTTCATTGTGTTCTAGATTTAGGTGTGGGCAAATAAATATATAAACAAAATAAAAAAATATTAATTTACGTACTACATACATATATACATGTATGTACATATACATATGTGTAAATAATATAGACTTATCTGCGAGTAGATTAAATAGTGTGTTACTAAAAATTAAAAAAAAAAATCGATATTATGTGATTTGTATTATAATAAATTTATATTCTTACCGCTGTAAGTGTGTGTGTCCTGTGTGTGTATGTATTCGAGAAATTAAAAAAAAAAAAAAAAAAAATGTAAATGCATGTAAGTAATAATGTTGAACTCAATAATATTAAAATTTAATCAATACATACTCAATCCCTTGCTTACATACATACATCTGTATGTATGTATCTGAATGTATGTAGTTGTATATTTGTAATTAATAGTTTTATAAGCGTACGCATTAAATATTATATGTATGAAATCGATTCCTGCCCTCCATTTGCATATTTAAAAAGTTTAACAAGCATAAAATACATATATTTAACTAAGAGTTTATTACTGAAGTTAAGTACCAATTGCATACATATATATAATATGCATACATATGTGCATACATATTGTATTTGCCGGTTTAATATACATATACATATACATATATCTACATATGGCTGAAAAGTCGCTTCAGCGGTTATAAAGCTCTAATTATATATGTACATATGTAGGCATAAAATACATTTGAAAATATACACATACAAACATGTGACTATGTGTGTGTAGTATATACATACATAGGTAGGCATACATTTACTATTAATATACACAGATTGCACCAGAAGACCTTTCCAAGCTACTCTCAATCCACTTCCATACTGTTAAGTCGTTAAATGAGCTGCAAATCACACTCAAACTAACTGTTAAACTAGTTAATTCAACATTGATGTAAATAACGCATTTCTGGAATTCTAAGTGTGATTCTCTATTTTTTAATAACTTCAAAACTTAAAAAAAAATATATATTAAATTAAATAAAAAATACATTTTTAGCGTCGAAAAAATTTAAATTAAAAAAAATTATAATATATAAATATACTCAATTATCGGGAAATAAAGCATTAAAATGTAAATGCTCATTTGCTTTTCAAAACTAATTTACTAACGGTTTTATTTCAAAAGAATTAAAAAGAATTGCAACATTCTCTGTTAACGATTTTACATTATATTTTAAAGATTTAACATACTCTGTTAACGATTTAACAATCTCTGTTAACGATTTAACATTCTTTGTTAAGGATTTAAAACTCTCTGTTAACGATTTAACAATCTCTGTTGAGGAATGAACACTCTGTTAACGTGTTAACACTCTCTGTTAAGGATTAAACATTAACGACAAATTTTCGTTTCGCTTAAAAACGAAATAGAATTTACTTTGTTAACTGCATTAACAATAACTTTCCAAAAATGGTTAGTATACAAACATATAAAATATGTATTTAAATATATCATTAATCCCGAAAAATAGAAAATTTTAATGCCACTCTTTCTCTCACACAACTGAATTCGACTTTGCTAGAAGATTTTTTTTTTGACGCTTGGTAAGCTAAAAAATTAATATTTAAACTACCGTTATATCATTCCATAAAAGTGCACAAATTTTCTATATAAATGTTTTTTTTTCCAAATACCTTTGACTTCGTATTGAATCGGAAATGCAGTCAAGATATGTATGTACATATGTACATGTAGGAATATCCATATAAATGTATATTTGTGCACTACTTAAAATGTATGTTTATGTACATGTAAACACATACATACGAACATATGCACATTTCAATATCTATGTTAAAATAAATTTGAAATTCATAAAACAAAAAAAAAATAAAAAAATATATATATATTAACCAATAATGGTGGTGTTTCAAAAAACCCATATGTAAACGTGTTGTGCTTTTTCTAGATTTTTAAAATTAATATTTGCTAAATAACAAATACATTTGTAGTAGATACTAATTAGGTTTGAAATGATAATAAAATAATATATATATAAATATATATATATATAATGAAAATTAAATACTTATCTGGAGTTTTTCGGTGTATCATATACGGTAAGTGTGCTAGTAAACGGGCAGTACTAATTTTTTTCTCCAAAAAAAATAAGAAAACTGGTAATAATTTTATAACAAAAATAGGTGCTTTTTAAGCTTTCTCTCCTCGTTGCTTTCCTTCTAAACAGAAATCACAAGGTGCTATATCCGGGGAATATGTTGCTGGACGTATTTCCTCGATCCCAGAGATCACAATTGAATTACTCGTTATTTCGGAGGTGTGGGATGGCGCGTTGTCATGATGTAAAAGTTTGCTTCTGTTGGGCTGCATACCATGAACCCCTACTTGGTTTCTGGATCGTATTTATAGAACCAAGATTGGTCAGCAAAAATGACTTTACTAAAGTTGCTAGACTGACAATTTTCGAGTTTGTTTACGAAAAATTGATCAAAGGCACACGAGCATCTTTTTGGGTCTCATTTATCCCAGATGATTAATTAATTTCTTTGTTTTGTCGCTCTCATTTTATCCGATCGTTCTGGAATTCGGGGGGAAGACAAAGGATTTGGTATTTTTAGATTTAACAAAAATAAATTGAAAGTCACCAACTAATCGAACTTTTGTAAATCCCCTCGTATCATACTTTTGTCTAACAGAGAAAACTGTTTATAGTGCAATTACAGTTATTTCAGAAAATTTGAGTTCTTCATTAAACCGTAAGCTATTTTAAATTATCTTCTGTTGGAACTAAAAATTTTTTTTTTTTGTTACTTGGAGGAATTTTTTTAACAAATTTTTTTCAAACTTCCAAAAGGTTTGGAGTTTTCCAATTTTTTCTTTATGTTTTTATTTCATACAAAAGAGATACTCATAACCATTAAAAAATCTTTGGTTTGACTGTTTCAGATGTATCGCCCCGGCACCGTTTCATTATATCAGACAGCATCCTTGTAAATTCCAATATTTTTTGATACTAAAAATTGTTTTTTGAATAATATCTTTCCGTTTCAAAAATTGCTGAAAAATCGCTGCTTTCGGTTTCTAAAGCGAAAATTACAAATTAACTGCCATTTCCCCCGATATAAGAAAGACTTGGCTTGGCGATAGGTCTCTTTTTGTTATGTTTAGTATTAATTTCTCTCAGCAATTTTAAATTTATCAAATACTTTTAACTTTGCCTATTCGGAAATGTATTATTAAATTCTTTTATTTTTGCGTTCGGACCTTAGATGGGGCCATTTTATTACTACTTTTTGAAATTTAGTTTACTTTCTTTGAATGCGTGGAAAGGTTTTATTTTAATTGTTAAGTGCAAAAATAATAACAAACAAGTAAGTTGGAGATTTATGATCTACAATCTGTGAATCTAAAAATTTTTATTTGATAGGGTTTCGATCTGTTAAATCAACAACAGGAAATTATTGTGAAATAAAAAAAAAATCCACGACTTTCAGGTTGAAAAAATTTGAATGTCTATGAAGGAAATACATACAATATATTGATAATGAAAGCTATCAGCAAGAAAACACTGTAAGCTTCAGTGTTTTTATGGATTTGTAAGGATTTATTTAGCCGATAAACCGATTGTAGACGTTTGTTGTTCTCATTCCATAGGTAAGTAGTTCATATGGCTTAATTAAAAGCCTGTGCGCTGCGTAGACGACATCCGCATAAAATTCTGGAAGCTCTATACTTTCATGCATTATATTCATGTAATAAGTTTTGGTTTGAAATGTTTATTTCTTTCGGTTTACAATTGTCGGCGCATTTAATGAACATAAAAGTTTCTGAAACAAGTAATTAAATATTTTTAAACCAAAACTTTGCCCAAAATAAAATAACAAAACCATTATGATTATGTACAATATATGTATTTTCCTTATTGCACTTAATATAAATATGTTGTAATTGAAACGATTTTATGGCAAAAAAAAACAAACATATATAAAAAAAATATATTTGTTTAAATACGAAATGACTAAGCTCCACATGTCCACATGACTGATATACATATATTCAATGTAAAATGATTTTAAGTCATTTTCTCTATAAATTAATACAAATTTTAGTATGCTTAAAATAAAATTTACTAACATCTTTTTATTTGAATAAATTCGGTAAACTCATTTCTTTCTTTTTCATTTTGCTGTGACAGCTCTTCTCGCATAATCATTTTTGCGACAGCAAATTTAATAAGGGACTGTCTTCGTGGTGTTAACTTCTTAATGCTGCCAGCGTAACCAAGAAATGTCATATCTAGTCCATCAAAATTTTTCCCAACCAAAGGGTCAATATAATTATCATGTTCAACGGATGCAATACTTTTTGTGGTGGAATTACGGCCGATATCTTCACTTTCTGATTCATTGGCTAATTCATCCCATTCTGTTGATGGGTTCTCATAATCTGTTATAGCACTTGCAATTACTTGGTAGGATTCGTCATCTATTTCTTGTTGCACTTCCTCATCTATTTCGCCTTTAATTTCCGCAATAAGGGTCTTTTTTTTAAACGTGTGTGTTTGATCATCGTATACTTCATCAATGAACTCATCTTCATTGTTTTGTTTAAACTTTTTTTTTGATGGTTGAATTTTTATATCGCTTGATGTTTGCTCAGATTTTCTTTTTTGCGGCTCTTTTTCAAGTAAACTTTCATCGCCATCTGCAGAATCGTTGTGTAGCATATACGATTTAAAGAAATTCATGTGCCCGGACCAACGCCAGGACTTATAACGAGCTTCGAATCTGTTTTTGGTTGTGCCACTGCGGAGATACTTTGAGTAGCAATCTTTCAGAGTTCTCCATCTTTTTTTCGTCTCGTCAACTGTAAAATCCAATAAAAAATTTCTGAAACTATTTTCACATTATCAATCTATAATATATAGAAATATTGAACCTGAGATTTTTAAATCGGAGGGTAAACGATCAGTGAGAGATATCCAGGCTTCTTCCTTTTCGGCACTGTCCTTTGATCGCATCATTTTTCGATCAAATAAAATGGGAAAATCCTTAATTTCTTCAATAAGTTTCTCCGTGAATAGTGTCATTTCGGATGAATCTAACATTTTGGCTTATATATGTTTTGTATTCAATATTTTTAGAACACCAATCTATTTAATATACATTTAGAAATTGTAAACAAACTCAAAATCCAACATTTTATAAAACTGTATATTCCACTGGAAAACTCTGCCTATGATGCCAATGATTGAAAATTTTAATTTATAATTGAAACCAATGTTAAGCAATGGAATAGGAACTTATTGTGTTGCGCGACGTTTCCATTTTAACCAACAAAACGCAAATATCCATTAAATGACACAAACAACTATTGAGTAGTAATTGAAGTTTCTTTCAAGTATTTCAATTCTAAAGAATTCACCGAAAATTTAGGAAAATACATAGAGGTTTGAAATACAATCATTGCTTCTGCGAAAGAATTGCTGTCACGTAAAGTGAATCTGTCCTGTGCCAATTCTAGCCGTTCCGCTACTATAAATACCTCGTTTTTCTGTCTAGCACGAATTAGTGAACGTAAATATCTACACATATATACGTTCTCTGCAGGAATGACACACATCAGAATGAGAAAGCAAAACTTCTAAGGACTAAATATTGTGGCGGACTAGATTTCATGATATTTATTGTCCTCATGGTCTGTTAGGAAAATCAAATGTTATACACATATTTGCATAACGCAGTGTTGCCATACTTAAGTTTGCCTCAATGCTTATCCAAATATTTCATTTTCCGAGATCCAATAATAGAAGTTTATATGCATTTTTTCAATTGAAAAATTTTTTTAAACATCTCATATTTTAAAACAACCCTAGTTTGTAGTATAGCAAGAGTATAAATTTCCCTGATTGCTTCTTTTATTTCGTTTATTGGTGGGTACAGTGATACGGCTGTACTCTTTTTATGGTCGCCATCAATTGGGCTATGATGTGTTAAAAAGAGAAAATATTCCTCATCGTGGTTAGACAGAAATGAAGGGATTGTTGTAAGTACTACATTTGTCTCAGCTGCTAAAAATCCCAATATTATGGGAATATTATGGTTGTTAATAAAGGTATATTTGGCTAAATATTCCCGTTAATTGGTTAGCATTTCCCAGGAAAATTACTTTTAAAAGAGGTGCTGTGTCATTCGGGTTTCAAGTTTGGAAAGAGTAGTGATGATGTTAAGAGCTGAAAGGGCGTTTTAATACGCGTAAACCACACAAGTGAAAACTGTATTAATCTAATTACAAAAGCATAACTAATAATCATATGCGAAATTTTTGTGGCCGAACGGTGTAAATGTAGACCGCTATACAAAACTTGGCTTGTGTAAAAAAATTAAAATCTCGTCGGATAAGTGATAATTTATTTTGACAAGGTTTAATTTCGTTAATGATTTTATAATACAACGATTAAAAATTACTTAAACACTGAAATAGTTAAATTTCAACAAAAATTTACATGTATATCTATATGTATAACAACACATAATAAATTGCAATTGCTTTTAAATTGCTGTTTATGAGATATCGTATCGACACAAGCTATTCGAATACGAAAAGTGAATCTAAACGGCGTTTAATAAACTATAATTGTTAACCACTTGAGTTACATAAAATATAATACAATAGAAAAAATTTTTGTGAATTCATCTTCTGTACAAATAAAAGTAAAAAAAAAAAAACAAAAGTGCAAATCTCAACAATATCAATACTCACCTTCTTCGGTAATTGTCGAAGAAACGATAAATCTTGTGTGGTTGAAAAGTTGAAAAAGATCGGTGTGTATGCGGAAAGAAGGCACATTGCATTACTCTCGATTAAAATATAATAAGCTAGAGAAGTTCAAAATATAGAAAGCAGTGTTTTTCTTGTTTACATATATCATTTGCAAATTAAATCATAGCACAGTTTTTAAGTGAAATCGAACAGCTAAAACTTTAAAGGCTATCGCAGTGTCCCCTAAAGGCTGATACGAAAAATTTGTGCGCATTACATATCTAAAGAAAGGACCAATTTTATTTTCCGCTCATAAGAAAATTTCGAAATAAAAATTTTTACGTGATTATATTTCTTTTTGACGGAAATTAAGAAAATCGTTATTTGGTGCCATTGTGCGTTCGTATACAAAGAAAATCATATATGTATAAGAAACAAAATACGACGATTCGAAGACAATTGGAACTTCCTGCGTGATAGAGTGAGAGCAACAGTCATCACAATTATTGTCATTTTTGTAAAAGCCAAAGCTCCGTAAAGGGAAAATATCACATTGCTTTAGCCAAATAAAAAAAAAAAAGTGGAGTGAAAAGGTTTACAAAGCGAAAAGTGAGTGTTATTTTATTAAATTATTTAATATCAAAATAAATATTATATGAATAATTATTTCCATTAAATACATGCTTCGTAAATCATATCAAAGTTCTGCAATTTGAAAAATATTACTGGTTTAAATGTCGAAATAAGAGTTATTAGGCTGTTACAGTTTTCGCAAAAATAAACCTTTTAAAATGTGATCAAGATTATGCTACCAACTTCTTCAATCCGCCAGAAATATATAAAAAATTGGCAAACGCTTGAAATTTCGAGATCACTCGATATTCTTTTCGTAAACCTATCCGCAGAATTTTAAGGCTGATTCACATATTTTCTTCGTTTTTATTTTAAATTTTATCGATTTTTAAAAAAAAAAAAAACGGAATATTCAGCGCAAATGCCGCGTACTGCCATTCTGAAGGCAAATATCCAAAAACTAGAATTTAAAAAGAAAATTAATTTAATTTTTATAATTGCGGTCACCCCTCGGCAGGGAATGTCAGCCCCTCCGATTGTATTTCTGATATGAAATAAGTGCTCAGCCGCTCGGAGACGGCTTATAAACTGTAAGTCCACAATTTGGAGCAGGAGACCGACCGAAAGTCGCTTCAGCTACCGCAGCGATGAAAAAATTTATGATATGACTTCAATACAATCCATGTCGGTGTATCATAGCAATAAAAATAAACTTGCTATACTGTAAATTAAATTCGGTATGTACATGCAGTTAAATATTGTATGTATGTAATGCACATAAGTGTACTGTTATTTTAGTACATTGTACAAGTAAAGTAGCTCCATTTATTGGAAAAATTGGATGATGAGTTGGTGCGAAAATCGCTTCAGCGGTTATAAAGCTCAAGGTTCTTATGAATATACATGTGCCATTATATATACATATAGTAAACACGTATGCATATACATATAATATAAACCTTTCCTTTTTTTTTACAAAATTTTTATATGTATATAGTATGATCAAGTTCACCGATTTCGGTGCCAATGTTTAATTGTATACACGGTGATATACAATGTTTAGTCGTATGTACGTGCTATATACTAGTGTTGAAAAAAAAATGTATATAGGCAAGTGTTTGGACCCTTTTTTTTTGTAAGATTTTTGCCTAAATATATCATATTTGAACGAAATGGTTGAATAGCGAATATTTTGAAACGATTTTTTTTTTTTTTTTGCAAACATTTGTACATAAATAATTGCCAACTAAATGTAATTTTTCGTTCTTGAAACTATTTTTCTCTCATTTATTTTATTTCAGGACCATTAATAAATGTACCCTCATTGCCATCCACGAAGCGAAGGATCATTCAAAAGAACTAGAATACGGAGAAGACGAAGAAGCGTAAGCTAATGAGCACAGTAGTAGCTACAAAAATTAAAAACAAAACAGAAAAATCAACAGACTGATTAACAATATAAAACAATATAAAATTGTATATAATATATATATAATATATATATATGTATATGTTTATACATAGAAGTATATATAATAATAATTATATGTATGTATATGTAAATAAGGAATAAAGCATAGGAAGAGAAAAACGTAAAAGTAAGCAAGCACGAGATAGTAAAGCGAAAAAGAAGTTTGTAAGTTTAAAGCTGTTAGTAAGGAAAAGGGCTTACGGAACCATTTATAGGCGAACAAAAATCACACGACAAAGCCACCAGCATTCAGTTCCGAGTTTCCGATCAAACAGCAATTTTAGCTACAAAATTTCAAAAGAGATTGAATGTGCTATGTAAAGACGTATGTGAAGGATCCCTCACAAAGCAAACAATAATAAAAAGTTCAGACAAGGAAAAGAACAAACGCTAATTAACGTTGATTTTATTGTGTGTGATATTTAAAAATTAAGAAATAATTTAAACTCTAAATATTGAAAGAAGAAAAGTGGACATCACTAAACAGTACATCCATATTGCTGTAACACGAAGTTTAAGAATAAACAAAATCAAAGCTGCAGCGAGTAGAAGCAGACGAAATTGGAAATCGAATTGATAATGACTTACTCGCACAATAGCGTTAGTAATAAATTAAAAATGACAACATCCGCAGCAGTTGATGCAACGACTGTTCGATTAAAGAAAATGCCTCATGGTGGTGGAGTTGGTAATGCAAGTCGCAACTCACCACTAGCGACATCACCCGTAACTGCACATTCCAACAGTATTGCCAGCAGTACAAATTACCCATATTACTATCAACAACAGCAGCATATGCTGAGCTCTTCACCACCCGGCTGTCCAATGTCATCGGGTGCTTCAACCTCATCGAATTGCAGCGATTCATCGTTGGGCTCCAGTGGAATTGGTGGTGGACATATGTCGTCACGCCAAAGAAAGCAAAAAGAACGCAAACAACAACAACAACAGCAGCAGCAGCAGCAGCAGCGTAATTCGCCCCAACCAACAAGCGGTAGTGACAGTGACGTCTTCTTTAATAATAACAACCATCAGTATCAAACGCATAGTAGTGGTGGCCGACGTGGTGGTAGTAACCATAAACAGCGTGACGGTCAGCGATCGCCAAACGCACAACACCAACAACAGCAGCAGCAGCAGCAAACCCGTCAATCGCCAGCTGTGATATTGGGTGGAGGTGGAAGTCCAACGGCTATTAATAGCAACGGGGGCAGTGCCAGTCGCAAGCCTCGCGCAAAGTTTGCAATGACCAATAGCCCTCTATTTGGAAAAATTTCACCAACTCAAATGTTATTACCCACTGCTTTGACGCATTTCGCTGGTAGTAAATGCTTTGACGCACCAGCGCCTACTGCATTGCCAAAACCACCAGAGCACTGGACGCTCGGGAAGGCGGAACGCAAGTCAGCCAGCAGCGCTGGCCCAGGATTGCACAACATTACAACCGCGCGCAATCCAGCATTGGCCGTAGACGCCCACACATGTGGCGGCCATGTCGTGAAGCATTCAAAGCGCAATTTGCTCGATGATTTCGACACGCACAATCTGAAGTTGTTGCTGAACGTTCAATCGTAACCGCTACGCGTTGCACCCCAAATAGTCCACGAACAGCAGCATAAGTTTTAAATTACTATTTAACTATTAAACATCATAAAACGTAATTTAATAAAAAAAATAATAATAATAAATAAATAAATAAACATGATTTAAATTTAAAATAAAGCACGAATGCAAATAAAATAAATCCATATGTGATAATCGCAATGAACCATGGCGTGAGTGCACTACAAACAAATATCAAATCAAAATCGTCATTAATTTTCAAACATTTCATATAATAAAGTAAAATCTATAAGCAAATCTAACAGGAAATTAGTTGAATATAATTGTCGTGATAACCTTAAAATAAAAACAAAATTGTGTAAAAAACTAATATATAAAAACTTTCTACGTGAAGTAAATGATATCAGCAAACAAACATAAACAATTACGACACAAATAACAAATGCTTGTGATCTCAAGTATATTATAAAAATGGAGTATGTATCTAATTTTTTAAATGTTAACTGGCTGAAACAAAAAACAAAAAATTATAATTATAATTGCCAAAACTGCAAAATTCCAAATTCAATAATTTAATATATTCTTCATGTAAATTGAACAATGTACAAATATCATATTTTGCCATTAAGTTAATAGCTATTAAAGGTTAAAGAAAATTTTAAAATACATATATTTGAAAAACGCATTGTCAATCACAGCAAAGTTTTAAAATCAGTGGACAATGAATAACCGAACAGTACACAACACCGCAAACAGAATTGAAAAACAAAAAAATACAATATAGTGTTCTGGTGTGAAAAATGCGTAACTTGGTGTTATCTGTAAAGGAAACTGGCATTAAGAAAGTGAAAGCATAAAAAAACAGTGAACTCCATTAACCCACCAAACTAATTAAACGATCACAATTGATCACTAATAATGTAAATATAAAAACAAACAAATTAAAAACAAAAACATTTGTAACCAAAATGCAATAAAAGCAATAAAGCAACAACGAGCAACAAAAACACCATTTAAGCTGTTACCACCCTGGGCTTAGCAATATAACAAACAACTTTACTTGCAACTTACCCTCGGTCAAATAGGACAACAGCAGTTGGAGTGACTGCAGCTCCAAAAATAAGAATCAACTTTAACAAACTTAATATAAAACATAGCATTACCAGCGGCACCATATGAAACAATGAGCATTCATCATGTGAGAACGACGTTCAATAATGGCGGCACACAATACAACAACAGATTTTGTGTAACGTACACATACATATGTTAAACGTGCTTTCCTATCCTGAAAAATTTTGATCCTCATAAGTAATAATTATTTTAATCAATTTTATTTGTAAACAAAAAATCAACGGTAGACTTGTAGACTTTTAATGCAATCCCGTACAATTAAGCGTACCAAATGCGCCATTTTTTATTCACCCATATATTTTTGATTTGTTTATTAAAGTATTTCAAAGTCAGAGTTATTATCTCTTTTTTCTCAATAGAAAATCAAAAACAAAAGTGTATTCATTCTAATAACTCTTTGTTTAAAAACATTTCCGGGCGAAGTTTTAACCTTTTACTATTTCTATTTAAATGCATATCTTATGCATATATACACACAAACAATCATATGCATCAGTAATACATATATGTGTGTGTAGATAGTCAGCAATTAAAATTAAAAAGATTTTATTAAAATAAATTTGAAAAGTTTTTTTTTTTGGCGCATAGTTACGTTTTTTGTACTCTAAGTTAATATAAATACATTTGTAATCGTAGTTATATTTATTTATAATTTGCATCTCTTAATTTAATTTCAGTACCTATAAATCTTTTTTTTATTAACGTATTAAACATACAAATGTATATGTGTTAGTCATCTGGATTGTAGATGAACACTTGTATTATATTTCAAAAAACAAAATTGTGACATATTTCTGTCCCATTGAACTTTTTATATTATCGAATTCATATGCAGAGAAAAATATTTGCATAAATAACATAAATCCAAAGATAAATGTTAACAAATTTTAAACTAGATAAAACTGTAAACTTTAGAAATTGTTTGAAGATATACTTTCCGTCATCAAGCATTGTAAATTAAAACCTAAATACAACAATAGATAAAAGACAAACCAAACGGCCGAAAGGCTCAAAAACGAATAAATGCGCTTTAATTTATTGATTAAAAAACAACAACAACAAAAACATATATTCAAATGACGCCTGCCAATTAATGCAATTTTGAAAAACTGCAGCACAATTAAGGAGTTTTTTTTTCAAATAACCCGAGTCCTAAGCAAACATCAACACATATACACCCAACTCTGTACGCCGATTTACACACATATTTATGTATACAAACATGGGAAAATATTAAACTGTTGTTCGGGTTTGTGGGATTCGAATTACTTCATAAAAATTAAATATGAGTAATTTCGAACAAAAGCTGCTAGTCCTTAATGAAAAAGAGAAGAAAAAAAGAAAAACAAAAAAGAAACAATCTTTAGGTGTGCCCTTTGATAATATTACTTTTGGTCATCTATTTATACTTGAAAGAAATGTAGTTATTCAAAATCTGAGTATTGTAAAATGTGTTAGGAAAAGTTTTTTTTTTATACAACTGCCTTAAGAACAGTAGTTTGTACGAGTGTGATGAATGTTTGCAGCTAAAGAGGAGAGAAACTTAAGCCCAGTACCTTGTTTAATTTTTTTTTTTTTTTTTTTTTGTAGTTCATAATAATTAATTTATTTTTTGAGGATTAGAGATGGTTTATTCTCGTCATCTTACAAATGATTTATTATATATATATGCAATTGTGATGGAATATTAAGCATTTACCGGTAGTAGCCCGGTGCAATAATGTCCGATTAACATTTAAGAAAAGTATAATATTAGACATAAATATATGTATTGATATATACATACATATATGCGCTAATAATGGTTCTGATTTGAGTTTGACAAAATTTTAAGCATTCATTTTAGTTTCTATGACAATGTAATTCGAAAATTATACAAAATGCAACAAGAAATTTTTATAAAGTTTCACAGTGGACATACATATGTACGTGTATGTACTCGTACATAAAATACATACATACATATATTGCTATTAAATAAAAAGAATGCTTAAAATTTCGTTTTACCAACAAAATACGCTAAATCTGAACTGCTGTTGCCAATATTAGAGAATTATAACGATGCAATTGTTAGTTGCAAACTTAAATGGTGAATATATTTTAAAACTTTGTGATGCTATATACGTATGTTAGTATATGTATAGTATATATATTGTATTTTGCTTACTCTTTGTTAACATTTAAAGATTACCAATGAAATTGTAAGTTGCCACTATGTGAAGTTTTTTTTTTTTTTGTGAATGTTCCGTGTACAATACAATTGTTGAACTCCACATACATACATTTGCATGTATGTAATGTAATGTAAAGTTAGTAATATATAAAAACAAAAACAAAAACAAAATAATATGCATTTTTCTACGCCTTCTTCCAGGAAGGGGCCAGAAAGAATCATCAATAATTGAGTGTGTTTGACAGCGTGAAATGTATTTAATAAATAGATGGACTGGAAATTGTAGAAAAGAGTAATAAATAATAAACTTACGAGTATATAAAACGAACGCACATGTAAACGAAAGATATACATACATATATTGTAACTATTGTGTGCCTAATTTGGTTTGGTTCGTGTGTGATGGTGGTTGTACTACGCAAAATTGTTAAGATTTTAACAATGCCATTGTAACTATATTGTATGTGGTACATGTATGTATGTATGTATGTGAGAAGAGCAAAGTAACTGATGGCTTTTGGATTTGATTTCATTAAGCTCATTATAATTTGTTGCATTATATAACACTCTCATACAAACATATCTACATAAACTTTGTCTTAGTACAATATATACATATATACATATGTACGTACATATAAAGCTGATTGAATTGTAAATGTATTTTAAAATTTTCTTTTCCAAATAAATAAATAAATATGAGGCTGGTTCAAAATAAGTGTGAAAATCAAACCTCTTAGTAAATCGAGAGCAAAGGTTATCCGTATAAATTTTGTTTTAAATGTAGCAATTTTCGGTTGATATCTCCTTTTCAAATTTAAATATCAAATGCGCATATTTATGTATAAATAAAATAAAAATCCAAATTAATAATATCTAAAAAGTTTTTATATCAATTTCAATATTGTATATAAAAATTATTGCTTTTTTTTGAGTTTTTTCTTTTGTTTCTTTATTTTTGTTTCTTTATTTTTGTTTCTTTTTTTTTTGTTTTTTATTAAAAATTGATTTCAAAAACCATTTAAAAATAGTCAAAAGCAAATAAAAGGAATACGCGTATTTTATTTTCACACTTTCTTGACATACAGTGTTTTTGAACCGCCATAATATGCATATATTCTTCCTACAAATGGACATAGACACGTTTCCAGTTAAAGATCAGAGTCGGTGCAATTGCATTTTGTAAATATGATTTTTTTTCAGCAATTTCACACTTTCTTTGCATGAATCATCTTCGCCTGCGGAAAATGTTTATGACTGTTATGGCGAAAAAATTATGCATGTACAATATACATACATATATACACACTATATTTTAGACAAAATTTCAAAAACATTAATTTATTTAAAGTAAATTCATATTTTTGTAATTAATATTTTTTCTCTATCGTAATGATGACGTGATATTTGAATGCAATCAATAATTTGATTTATATATAATTTAATGTTTTTTTTTTTTTTTTTTTTTTTAGTTAAATGCTCATTAACAGTGCTCGCTCGTAAACTTTGGTGAACACAAATAAATACATTATTAAAAAAAAAGTAAAACGCCTAATAATAAAACAAAAGAAAAAAAATGAATAAACACTCCCACACACATACACACAGACCTGCGCTAAATAGAGAAACTAAGAATTTTGCATTTTTAAGATGTAAGTTTTTTTTTTTTTTTTTTTAATTGATTTTGTAACTTTTTTGTTTTAAACACCTTGTATGTAATAACGAATATACACACATATATATATATATATGGTATATGTATTTGTGCAACTCAACTTCAACCTCTTGCCTATACGCCTAATTCTTAACTGACGAAATAGGGAAAGAGAAAGCAAACCCACTTTCATGACGATTTAAAGCGCAAAATATAAATTTCTATGATTTTCATTCAACATTTGCATTGAGTGTTTGGCCATTTTCATTACAGAATGCAGTGGCGGCAAACAAACAAATAACAAAAATATGTAGAAATTATTATTTTATAGAAGAAAGAAAGAAAGAAGAAGAAGAAAAAAACACGCAACACCTTCTAGTACAAAGTCTTGCTCTTGAAGGAGCACATTACGAATGTTTTATTGTAGTTTTTACGATAGAATTGTAATTTTCACAATGTGTGTAATATTGTTGTAATACAGCAGCGCACAGTAACAAAGTTTTTGTATAATTTGTTGATTGATCGCATTAAAAATGCAAATGCAGAGTCGAAATCGTGTTGAATTGAATTTTGTTCCCTTTTGAGCTCCTTTTAAAAGCAGTAAACAATATTTCTATCATCGCTATATAATTATTTTAAAAAGTACATACTGACATATACACAGACACAGACACAAATACATATGTGATTACATTTCTGCACTTAGATTTATGCCATTCTCTTATCAAACACACACTAGCAAAGCATACATACATACAATCATTTGCATGTATGTATGTGTTTACATATATACGTAGTTATGGTTTTATTCAGTTATTAAATATACATATGTACATATGTGTATAAATAATTTGTGAAAAGCATAAGGAACGAGGGGGGGAGGGGGAGTAGTGAGAGGCATAAATAATTTAACAGTTATTACGGTTTGAAGTGACGCAAAAGCTTTAACAAAGACTTGATAAATAAGAAAACAGAAAAAAATAGTGAAAAAATATGATAAAGAATAATAAAAACAAACAAAACAAATTACACATACATACATACATACATACATACAGAAACAGACATATTTAGAAATTAATTGTAAAAAAAATTGAAAAAAGAAAAAAAAAATAAAAACAAAAATAAACTTTATTAAACATACATACCTTAAAGTACATTTACACACAGACACAAACACACCACCCACACATACATACATACAAAAAAAAAATCTGTTGATACATATTATTTAAAACCACTAAACACTTATGTATGGGTGTTTGTAACGTAGAAACCCGCTAAAATTGGTTTATGAATTTCGAAATGTAAGCAAGAATGCTGCACGGGTTTCCTGGAAAGTAGTAAATTGTTTGTAGAGTTGGTTGCCTTATCAAGTGAAATTACAAAAAGAATGTGCGCATTTAACTACGATTGTTTGGATCCATAATGGACTCCAGTTGTCGAGATTCAAAAAAAAAAAAAAGAAAAGCACACTTTATTAAAGTGTTTTATGTTCTTATTGAGAATTTCACTTAATAAAGGTAACGCGGTTAGAGAGACAAAAGTAGATGGAGGAGTGTATTGTGAAAATATGCTCGAATAAATTTTTTTTATATTTTTTCTTTTTTTTTTTTCTTTTTTTTTTTATTTTATGTAAAAGTAATTCATGTAGCAATTTTAAAGCAAATTGCTAAAACACATAAAAAACCTGCGTATTTCCTAGGAATCGCATGAAATGTGAAGCGCACAAGCGCATTGAATATGCAAAGCTGCAAAAAAAAAAAAATATATATATATATATATTAAAAAAATAAATAAAAAAAACAGAAAAACTATTGAAAATGTAATCGTAAAAATTGTACTTCCAAAAGAGAGAAAATCAACCATGAAAATGAAATGTAAAGAGAAACAAAGCAACAAGCAAAGTGTGTGTGTGAGCATGAAGAATCCGATGAAAAGTGGCTTTTAAATAGTTTATTTTCAGATTTTAAAATTTTAAACATTTCAGTGATTTCGTCTGCTATCGACTATATTCGTACATTTATTCTACTCTAAACAGACTAATATCAAACTCTTATGCCTACAATTTGTATTTCTGTATGTTTGCCCTACGCTTTGCTGCTCACACTTTGTTTGAAAAAAAAAAAACCAATGCATATTTTTCTCTTGACTTACACCAAGTCCTTTACCTTTTAAGTAATAAAACGATAAAAATAAAAAGATGCAATTTTTTGTGATAAAAAAATATTTAAAACTTGACAACGTTCAAACCATGCAATCACAGTCAGCCAATGAATGGGGTGATAAATGTTTGTTCCATGTTGCATATACATACGTGCATACATACCATACATATGTATGAATATGAGCAAATAAATAATTTGTGAATTTTTGTTGTAGTTTAAGATTCATATTATTTCTGATAAACAAAAACAAAAACTTGTGAAAATTTCCCTTCCAAGATATGCGCAATTACATTGAACCCCGCAAAAATAAGAAAAATTGAGTTATGATTTTCAATCAAACGGCACTTAATTAAAGTAACAGTAAAATAGTATTTAAAAATATTTGCTTCAAAAAATTCCTGCTAACATAAAGAATATGTGACTATAAACATGAGACATAACACAAACGAAACAACTGGAAAGATAAATGGAAAAAGAAATTTATGCCAACAGAAATTGTAACGAATTGTATGAAATTATAAAAATGAAATGAACATATTAAAAATGTAAAGAAAAAAAAAAATGAAACAAAAACCATTTATTGCACATTTTTATGCATTAAATACCCAAAAAAAAATGTAAAATTATTCGTAAAAACTATTAAAATTCTTATCTCTTTTTATTTATTATTTATTGCATTACCATCAACGACCAATTGAACACCAATTTTAAAATAACAAAATATGTAAACGACATAGCAAATTCCAAACATCCAAAATTTTTTTTATTAAAACTTATGAAACATGAAAATTACAGTGAAAAATAAAAACGAATATAAATAAAAAAAAAAATAAAAAGTTGTACAAAATGTTAAAATTTTACGATTTTGCATTTGTACAATGAAACAAAAAGTTTGTTGTGTTTCTATTTATTTTATTTATTTTTTCTTACTTATAAGTTGAAAATATTACTTTATGGGGCGTTTTGTAGATCGTAATGAGGCAAAAAGAGGCAGATTTGGCTTTTAGAAAATATACTTAAACAGCTGATGAAACACGAACGTCAACTGGACTTTGGCTGGTTGCCAAATTTTATAGGGATTGTAATAATAGAGTAATGGCCAACGAAGTTTTTTAGTTCATTTTTTCTACTCAATGTGATGTAACCAGTTTTTTGTTGATATCTTTTCTTTAGAAAGCAAGGGAAACATCGGAAAAAATTCACACCTGGTGTTGTGAAAAGAAATCAACAACAAAGAGTTACACTAAATAAAATGCAATAAATATACAAATATGATAAATAAGTAAAATATAATGAATAAAAAATAAAAATAAAAATAAATAAAGTAAAACAAACAAAGAAAATATAATAAATATATAAAATAAAAAATTTATATTATAAAAGGGTAAATAAGGGTATTTTTTATATAAATTTATAAATATTTTATTTTTAATAAAATTTGATCTTATTTGATTGAAAGTAAAAATTATAATAATTCGGAAAAATGAAAATATTTGAAACTTAAAATTCAGAAACTGAAAAATTTAAAATAGCAGGTTTAAAATTTTAAAGTAGTTCCTACATAGGTAAAATAAAATAATGAATAAATAAAAATATATATAAATAAGTGAAATAAACGAGTAAATGATTCGAAAAAAAAAAATAAAGAAAAAAAAAATAAATAAAGTAAAATATATAAAACAAAATAAAATATAATAAAAAAAAATAAATAAATAAAATAAATAAATAAATGAATAAATAAAACATATAAAAATATAAATCAAATAAATAAAATAAAAAATAAATTAAAAACATAAATAAATAAATAAAAATAAATAAAATAAAAAAATAAATAAAAATAAATAAAATAAAAAAATAAATAATAAAATAAATAAATAAAATAAATAAATAAAATAACTAAAATAATAAATAAGTAAAATAAACAAATAAATAGAAAAAAAATTAACAGAAAGAAAAAAAATAAAAAAAAAATAAATAAAGTAAAATAAAATATAATAAAAAATAAAATAAATACATAAATAAAATAAATAAATAAATTAATAAATAAAATATATAATTTAATAAATCAAATAAATAAAATAAAAAATAAATTAAAAACATAAAATAAATAAATAAAAATAAAAAAATGAATAAATAAAATAAAAAAATAAATAATAAGATAAATAAATAAAATAACTAAAATAATAAATAAGTAATAATAATAAGTAAAATAAACAAATTAATAAATAAAAAAATTAACAGAAAGAAAAAAAAATAAAATAAATGAATAAAATATAACAAAAAAAAAAAAATAAAATAAACAAATAAATAAAATATAACAAAAAAAAAAATAAAATAAATAAAATAAAATAAAATATATAAATAAATAAGTAATATAAATACATATAAAAAAATAAGTAAAAAAAGTGAAATAAAATAAATAAATAAAGAAAAACAAAACAAAATCAAATAGAATAAAATAAATAAAGAAAATAAAATAAAACAAAAAATAGACAAAATAAAAAATTACAAAAAAAAAAATAAACAAATAAAATGTAAGCAAATAGAAACGAATTATTAAAAAAAAAAAATAAAACATCAATTAAAGTAATAAATATAAAATATATCAAAAAATTAATAAAATAAAATAAATAAATAAAATATAATTATTGATACGTCTGTTAATGTAAATTTTTCAAATTTTATTTGCTTAAAAAAAATTTATTTAAAAATTTCTTGTTTGATTGCAAGTGAAAATTTAATAATTTAAAAACTGAAAATATTTGAAACTTAAACTTCAGTAAGACAAAATCTGAAAAAATTTAAAATAGCAAGTTAGAAGTGTTAAAGTAGATTCCTACAATAATAAAATAAATAAAAAGCAGAAAATATCGAATAAATGAAAAATTTTTAATAATAAAAAGGAAACATGATTTTCCAGTAAAACAATTCAAGCTTGACCTATTATAATATTCAGTGAATATCTGTTGAACAAACGCTTTCACTGCCTATGTGCTATGTGCTTTGTATTGGAATGAAGTCATTGCCATTTTATGGAACAACTGTGCATGATTTCGAATTTTCACCTGTACTACAATCATACTGTCGTGTCTATAAAGAAAATATATGTATATACATTTGTCATATGTATATATTTTTTTACAGAATTGGTTCCTAAGCAGAATTGTTTTCTAACAAAAAAATAAAAAAAGAAAAACTGTTAAAGTTCGCTACAGTTGGGAGGTAGATCTATCACTTGTAATGAAGTGAAAAATAAATAAATGAAAAAAATAAATAAATAAGTGAAAAATATAAACAAAAAAAAAAATAAAAATAAATGAAAAAATAAAAAATATATAAACAAATAATGAATAAAAAATAAATTAATTAATAAAACATAATTAAATGAATAAAATTTAAATAAATTAAAAACCTCATAAATAATTGTATAAAAAGTAAGTAAATTAAATAAATGAATGAAAAATAAATAAATGAGAAATATATACATATATAACTTTATATACCTATAGAAGAAAACTCGATCAGCACTGTTGACAATTACCAGAGACTATACAAAAAAAAAATATATACATTCATTCATACATACATACATATGTATAATGAGTATATATGCTTTATAAACTGAAATAAATCAAATAAAAAGATAAATTTTAGGGAAACCAGATTTTGACACTAAATATCAAATGGAGACAAAAATTCACCACAACAACTCAAACACCAAAAATTACAATGCTTACTACTTACATACCTAACTGAAAGTTTTGAAAGTGTGTTTCCGGCGAAACTGCTACAAGAACAAACATTATGATAGAAGCACATACACAAAAGAAAAAATAAAAAAAAACCAAATGTTTTTAAAATGCTACATGATAAGATAATTTTCGCTGAAAAAGAAAACAAACAAATTGAACAACTAAAGGCAGAGATAACGGTAAGAAGGAATTTAAGGGTAATTTTTTTTTTAGACAAAATCTATAGAGAGTGGAAGTTATTTGAAGAAAAATGACAAAAAAAAACAGCTTATTTCCAAAACAAATATCCAAAAGTTTTGAGGTGGTACTGAAAATCGGAAAATAAAGTCTGTGCGGGGTTTGGGCTTGAACAATTACATTTAGCGTATGTATGTAAATAGAGTAACAAACGCAAAGTTGTTTAACTGCGACTTTTGGAATAAAATTTTGCATTAAAAAATCATAATACGAAGAAGAATACTTAAATAAAAATGCTAACTGTAGTTTTAATAAAGCAACTGAAAAATATGAAAGTAAAAATAAAGAAGAAAAAATAATAATAAAATATAAATAATTAAATAATACTATATGAAGAAATGACCTAATCAACACTCACAATAAATGTATGTATGTACACTATATAACTAACTAGAACGAAAACTTAATGCTCTAAGTATGATAAAATCAGTTAAAATATTATATTAGTGTATTAATTCTCTGTGATTTTTGTATTCAAAATATTTAATTACCAGGTAATGTGTCCCTGTAATGAATGAATAAACAAAACAACTGCTAGCAACATTATGTTATGTAAATCAAGAGTTTCATAGCATAAAAAATGCGCATAACAAATCGAAAATGTTCAATGGGAGCGCCGTCGCTAATATCATTCAGCATTTCGCAATTGAAAAAAAAAAAAAAAATAACAATAATTTTGAAGCTCATTCTATGACATATTGGATAGAAATGCACACCCATTTTACGTACCTATGTTGTACAATAGTACATACATATTGTATATATGTATGTAGCCAACACATATGTATGTATGATAAGATTTGACAACACATTACTTGAAGTGTACAAAAAAAAAAAACACAAAAAAAAAAATAAGAACGAATAACAACAACAATTACATTTGAAAATCATCATGAAATAATATAATTATAATAATAGCATAGAAATTAAAGTTAATATATATATATATATATATATATTTATTTAAATTGAAGAGAGAAGTAGTGCAAGCAGAAGATGTACATATGTACATGGATAATTAAAAAAAAAAAAAAAATAATCACTAACACATATACATACATATATACACATATGTATGTATGCCAGCAAGTGTAGCTTTCACTTGAGAATCAAATGACAACTTACACGCATTCCCAGTATGAAAATTTTCTTTAAATGCTTCTGCAGACAGATACACATAAGTATCATACGAAAATATATACATATATATGATTTAAAAAAAAAAGTGCAAAATTTTGCGCTGTGCACTGCTTTGAAGTCCGAAAAGCGCTTGTAAGTTTACAGACATTATTTCCAAAATACATTTGTGGAAGGTGTTGAAGTTGGTACGGCAACTTGTATTAAAAAAGTTTGCACATTTATTAGAGTGGTTCAATAATATATGTACGTATGTATTTTGTACATTC